TGCCCCGCTCATTCACCTCAAGGCAGTTGCAGCAACCACTGGAACATGTGGGCCCTCTGTGGGACTCTGGTGTGAGATGCATGTTGACATTTGTAAATGGATAGGGGAGTCGGAAGTCAAGATTTCTTGACTCACTTTATTGTGAGGAGGGATAGTCATTCTTTATTTTCAACCTTGAGTTAATCTGTAGCAAATTTATCACTTTTCAGCTATTGGAAGGAAGGATTTCCTGTTTTGTTCAGTTCCTTTACTCAGTATCTCTGACTGATACTGGTTTGTCGTGTCTGTTCTTTTGTCTACTGAAAGACAACAGAAGAAACCCCAGGTACTGTACCGTTTTGTTGAGCTAATATACAGACCCTCAGCCACAAATAGTTACCGTGCTTGTCAAAACTGCGGGTTGTCCACTTTCCCAAGGAAGAAGTAGCACAGAATTAAGCTAACTCTTGACAGTTTAGCTGCTGCCTACAGGGTTTTGAATAACAGGAATGTAATTAATCAGCATTTTTGGTCCTCAAATCCAAGGCATAATATTATATCTTCACTAGGAAGAAAGGTTTTGTTAATAATGGATAAAATCCTAGTGTAGATACTTGGTTTGTAGTTTTAGCATGTGTTAGCTTGTCTAAACAGTGAGAGCGTAAAATCATGCCTACTTGTAAAAGCCATATATCTACAGACTGAAGTGTGTGATCACCAAATACAAAAATAAGACTAGAGCTTTCTAGCTCACCTTCTGACTCTAGTAGTATTACCTTTTCTTACTTCTCAGTTTAAATATAATTCTGTCTAGTTGCATCTGCAGCTTTCTTCAGAAATGCCACTTGCAATTTTTTTTCAGTCTATAGGTACTATCTCCTGTATGTGATGGTATATCCCAGAACAATAGTTGCCTGAACTGCAAATAGACATTTTGGATTCCTAAAACAGGAATATCTTGCTCTGTTTTGCAATGCTGCCTAGAGGATGAGCTGTGGCCGGTCCTTCAAAAGCGTTCAGAGCCTCCTGTTAAAAACAGTGAAAGCTTGAAAAGCATTCAGCAGCTAACACAGGTTGGTGGAGGTGTGTAAAGTGCTTTGAAGAGCCATGGAAGAAGTCTCAAGGGCTTGTTCAAACCTATTGATACCTAGAAAATTGGGGTCCAAACTCCTGGTAAACTCCTCTCATGATCCATGTGTTAGTTATATGCTCTGTATTTGTTTGTGCAATTGTGAGGACAGGTTTAGATTTTTTTAGACGGTTGAGATTGAAACAGACTCATTTTCAAAGGGCTTACCAGAGAAAATGTTATTGATTGATTGAGGTGGACTTTTCACACATCAGTGACCAACCTAGGGCCTTCCCTGGGTTTGATCTATGCCTGTCCTTTAAATTCTAATAAATCGTGAAGCATGTGGTTTTTACAAAATGTTTTTATTATCCTAGGTCGTGTTTGAGTAGAACTGTGTGTGGTGGTCAGTGTTACAAGGATGTCTCTTCCACCTTGATCTCATCCCAGAATGCTGTGGAGGGTAGGGGATTGAGTGTGGATTTCTGCTGGTTTTCATTTGTTTTCTCTCTACAGTGACTTAATTCTTGTTGCTCTATTGTGTATATGTTGTAATGCCACAAAGTGGGTAGCGTAATAAAACATAATTGGCTTTTTCTGTATTTGTAGACACTAGCAAGGAAATAGTTGATGACTAATCTCAGTAATTCAGTACGTGGGACTTTAGGCACTGGCATTTGGCTCCGACTTCATACCCCAGAAATGCCTCTGGCCTTTTTGTAGGATGATTCTTATACCTATTCCTGCAGAGTGCTTACCTGTGGCTCTGAAAGTAAATGCATTAAACTCTTAAGTTTGTTGGATTTTTTTTTTTTTCTTTCTTTCCAGTCTTGCCTGGATATTCGTTACAGGTGTTCAGGAGTCTTTCAAAGTTGATGATATTTTTTGGTTTGCAAATAAATTATTTTCAGGCAGATAGTCACCATTTATGCACATGAGCTTTGCTGCAGCATGTTACCCTGTTATGTAAAAAGTACCTCCTAAAACTACAGTAGAAATAGAACAAAACAACAAGTTGAAACATGAAGTAAAACATGCTAACCAGCAACCTTTGATATGTTTTTCCTTATGTTTTACAAAAGAGAAGGCTTTTTGAATACTTGAGCTTCAAACTTTTGTTATAGCTTCTTCACCTGCCTATAGAGGGTGAGTGAAAGCCAGAAAGTCAAAACTGAGTAGGGAATGTAGAAAGGCAAAAGCAAAGGCTGCAATAGCAGCAATTCAGAAGTGTCACACCATAGACTGAACCTGCCTATTGCAAAAGATTTTTGAGTCATTGTGCAGAGAGGAAGTGTTAATCATGGCAGTGATAAAAACTGAAAATGGGGATTAAGGGCGTAGTTAGAAAAGAGACTTTGGTTGCAGAAAAAGACAGGTTCTGTTGCCATCATCCTTTCAGCCAGTGGCTTGTTTCCCTCTTACGCTCTCTGTCCTACCCCTCAAGATCCCTCCATTCGTGTTTAACTTAGCATATGACAAGTCTTTGGCCCAGGCCTGAAACAACCTGGGTTTAAAAAAAAGCTAGAAGGACCTTGGTATTAGATCTGATCATTGTCTAGATCTAGATTAGAGGACTGGACAATGAAGACACTAAACTCTGGAGATACAAGAAAAAAAAAGGAAGACAAGCAACTGGCAACAATAATTTTATTCTGTATTGGAATTCTGGTGGGTTTGTTTTTGTGTTTTGTGTGGGTTTTTCCTTTTTTTTTTTTGTTTGTAACCCATTTTCGTTAGGCTCCAGGATCTTGTCTGCACGATGGTGGAAAAGGAGCTGCTAACTTTTCAAATTAAAACCAAAGAGTATTCTCAGAGCAAGGCTGTAGTGCAGGGATTGAGATGTTGGATCTATGACTCCTAGCAATGTGCTGTCATGTTTCCTTTCCCAGGTGGTTATCTTGCCTGGGATGACTGTTCTGTGGTAGGTAGAGGTATCCAGTATAGTTGAAGGCATCATATCAAACCTTGAGTCTATAGATAGTTATCTTTTTACTTCAGCTGGTTGAAGGTCCTGTCCCGTTGACCTCCCATGACTGTTAACCGTACAGGTTCTGGCAGCAGGTGGCCTTACAGGAGCAGTATCTGAAAACTTCTTTGGGCCACTCATCTGTATAAACAGTTCAAGTTTACTGGCCAATTTCTACTGAAATGATTGAAGATTTAATGGCTTAAGACCATCTTTTTCTGTCTAACTACCACTGCTGATTAGAAAAGGCCGGAGAAGGTAACCTCAGCTGCATGGATAACCACATCTTTACCTGCTGCAACTGCTTGTCATGGAAATCTCTGTAGCCTGAACTATTACAGGGTTGTGGTTGAATTGTTACCCTTTCTTTGGCTGAAATGAAACAAAATGTTTCCATTTTTTTCCAAATAAAAGCAAAGCAGAGATGGAAGTTGAGATAAATTTTAAAACACTACTTTGCCCATACTGGCTTCTGTTATTAGAGCTATAGAGCATATTGTGTTTTGAGGCATATTAATTAATGTGAATTACTGGCCAGCTGTCTTTCATGAAATAATTTGTGAAAGTTTGAGTCAAATTTTGAAGGCACTCTTTTTATTAGGTATTAATTTATTTGGAAATGTGCCTCATCTCAGAATGATTCCCCTTCCATTTATGTGGTCTTGTATTAGTTTGGTAGACATTTCCTTTATCCAAAAATGAGATCAAGCGGAGTCCTGAACTCCACAATATTATAATTTGCTAGCCCAAAGAGCGGTGGCCATTAATTGCTGCTAGCAGACATTATAACTTTTATAGACTTAGAGATTTAAATGGGAGTTGTGATTAACTATATTATAACCTTTTTTAAACTTGTGGAATCTTAAACCTTCCCTTTTGAGTATAATCAATAAAGCATATTTTTTGTTGCATGCAATTTGAAATTAGAAGCATTTCCTTTTAAATGTAATAGTTGGCCTCTTGGATGATTTAAATACTAAACTACTGTTCAAGGAAGAGTGTCATTAGTCTATTTCAAACTTTGAGATGATCTAATTGTACCAGTTCAAAATTGTCTCGGAGACTGTAAATCTGTGGATGATGGTAAAAGCTTTGAGTAGTGGTATTAGTGAATAGTTCTTAATACAAAGATTTGTACTGACGCTTACTGTGTACCAGGGAAAAAGTCTTTTGCTCAACAGCCTTTTGAGAACAAACAAGTAAAGTTTTACTGTGCGTCTAAATACTGGTTTCACAGGTTTGAGGAATTTACTTGTTATGAATTCAGTAGTGTATGTATTGAAGTATGGTTTCAGCAGCTTTATGTAACTGGATAAGAGTAGGTTTGGAATAGATAGTAGGCAAAGTGTTGCTTTTATATAGCAATCTTAATACAGAAGCCCAGCTAATGGAATACAGGGATGTTCAAGACTATACTGTTTCAACTGCAGTGTATAGAAAAGTGACCGCAGTGCTTTCTAGCTGTCCCTCATTGACTATTAAAAGTATACCTTCTGTGTTCAAAAGTGTTCAATAGTTCTCTAGTTCTAATATTTTCATTATTTGGGAGAGAATACTTTCCTTTTCAAAAGTCCAACTGACTATTTTCTCTCTTCTCTAGGTGCTGGATTTCTTTGTGGCACTGAACTTGTCGAGTATATTTTGCCCAATGCAACTATTTGAAAAAGTACAAAAAAACTAAGTGCAACTGACTGTTTCTATAGACTTGAAAAATCAGAAGAAATGGTTAAAAAATCCCCTTCATTCCGTCACTGAGAGAACCAATGGATACGCTTGCAGTAATGTGTGAACGCAGATACAAATGAAAAACAAATAATTTTTTGCTTGTGGAAAAAAATCTTTTTCCTGGCAGAGGTTTTTTAGCTTAGCAGACTTGTAAGCACATGTTGGAGAACTTTATAAGTGTCCTTATTATGATCAGTGAGCATCCCCAAAGAACTGAAACCTTACATTAAAACACGTAATAAGGAACAGAGCGTAGGAAACATGCCAACTCAGCCTCTCTTGGCATACATGGATGGACCGGATGGAATAGCCAGTACCGTTGGTGCACAGATGGAGAATAATGATGCCTCAATGACAATAAAAGGAACAAACACAATTTCTTACAAAAACTTGCAAGAAAAGTTTCTCATGCAAACTGAGGGATGCATGCCTCTGGACTGCATGTTTTGTGATGAGACTTTTAAACATCCTGAAGAACTTGGTAAACATGTTTTAACTCAGCATAGGCCCACTCTTTGTGAACCAGCTGTCTTGCGTGTTGAAGCAGAGTATCTTAGCCCTCTAGATAAATGTCAAGTAAGAACAAACTTGCCTTCACCAAACAATGAAAAGGACAATGAAGAACTTAGTTGTGAAGTTTGTGGACAAACTTTTGATGAGGCTTTTGATGTTGAGGCACACATGAAAAAGCATAAAGATTCTTTTACTTATTGGTGTAATGTATGTGGAAGAAGATTTAAAGAGCCGTGGTTCCTCAAAAATCACATGAGAACGCACACTGGAAAGCCTGGTTCTAGAAACAAGCACCAACAAGGTTCTGAAATCCCCGTAACAATAAATGAGGTGGTGCAGGACCATGTAACTGAAAATGTAACGTCACCTTACAAAATTTGTATGGTTTGTGGTTTCCTATTTCTCAATAAAGAGACTCTAATGGAGCACAGTAAAGTGCACACCAAAGAATCAGTACCCAGTGCTGAAAGCCCCCGAGTGACTGGTGAACCTAATGCAGAAGCAACGTCTCAAAGAGAGGAATTTTTGCGATTCTTGAAGTTAAAACCAAACTTGGGTCCAGAAAATGACAAATCACAAAAACCTGTGAAATGGATAGCTGAACTAGATCCTTTCAACACATATCAAGCATGGCAGCTGGCTACCAAAGGTAAAGTTGCAGTTGGCCGTGGCCAAGTTAAAGAACCAGGGCACGAAGGAAGTACAGACAATGATGATTCATCTTCTGATAAAGAAGAACTCAGTGAAATTTGGAATGCAAATAAAGGTAGCCAGACCGAAACTACAGGGAAGTCAAAAGTAAATAAAAACAGCGGTTATACAGGGAATGGTAACTTATCCCAAGACAAACTGAAACATCCCGGTGGTGAAGTGCCTTCTATGGACGTGGATTCTAAATTGTCACAGAACAAAGAGAAACCAACACACTGTTCGGAGTGTGGTAAAGCCTTCAGAACGTACCACCAACTAGTCCTTCATTCCAGAGTACATAAGAGAGACAGGCGGACTGACGGAGAGACTTCAGCTGCTTCGAGGACGTGCTGTGCTGATATAATTGTAAGTCTGGATGAAAATGGAGCAGGGGAACGGATAGAAGGAGGCTCTGAAGATGGATCTGAAGATGGGCTTCCAGAAACACTTCATTTAGGTGAGTAACATTTTGAGCACATAAGTTTAGGAACTCTTTAGAGCTAAATAATGCATCTTACTTTTCTCAGTTATCTTTTAAAAACTTGGCCAGGGATATGAAATGTTATGGTGGGGGAAGGGGAGAAGAGAAAAATGACAGGGAATGAAAGGTTCTGACACCACCACTTTGAGATATGCAAAGTTGTGTTGGGCCTTCTTGCAGTTATGATTTGGGTTACTGGAATCACTGAAATACTTCTAATAATAATCAGTCTAGGAAAAGTCACTGTTTACTTAACCCTTCTCCACCTCCCCACCCCAATAGCAAGATTTATGGATGCTTTTGAGTGTTGCATATCCCTCCTTGTCCAAATACAAAATCCTTGTCCAATACGAATAGTATTTCTGAAGAAATCGTTGCGGTTTCACTTTTTTCCCCTGCATCTTGTAAGAGAGGGCAGAAAATGTCTAGTGCCCAGTACCAGTAGCTGTTAAGATCCTGAGAGGTAAAGAATAATTCCAAACTTTTTCTATCAAACAGCAGGTTCTATGTTTCTTTTGAATGATATGTAACTTGAAAGCCTAAATGTCAGACCCAGGAATTTTAAATTAGTTGCATAAGGACATGCATGCAGGTTATTAATAAGTGGACGTCATGTATGTAAGAGAGGTATATATTAAACTCCTCTTCCTTGAAGGATTGCTAGCAGTTCTCTTTGACGGAGCAGGGGGGCTCAATCTGTATGTTACTCAGGATTAATTCTGCATCTCACAGTGTCTTAGAAAAACAAGTGATACTGAATGATTCCTTAATTGAAAAAGACTGTGTCTGGGGACGAAAAGGAATAGCAAAAAAGGCTTTTAGCTAATCTAGCACTCTTGTGTGTGACATACTTTGAGTCTGCATTTAAAGAACAGGCACTTGCATAATCTCAAGAAAGGACACAACGTACAGAATGTCCTGGCACACACGACTGACTCTTCCATTTCTGGTAATGTGCAGCCCTTTATTTTGCCTCCCCTAACAAAGGAATGGAATTATTACCTAATGTTAACTTGCTTGTTTTGTTTCTCAGTGTCTTATCCTAAACTACAACAGCTTTCATTGTGAGATGCTGAGTCATTCATATTGAGACATTATCTGTTTGTTTAAAACAGCTATGGCTTGTCTTAGCCATAGTTTAGCCATACTTACTTAGCATTTCCAGTATAGAAGCTTTCCAACACGTAGGAACTTCAGAGAACCGTTTTCAGCTGTTATGTGTCTAAGGTCTTAGTCAAGCAAACGTCTCCTTCCTTCTTTTCCCACTGTAGCTTTCTATTCGGCTTTGAGTCAGATATTTTACTGAAGTTGTCTTGTTTTTTTCAATTCAACCTGCCAGAGAAATCATGTTGATTTGAATGGTGTGTTGCTGTAAGCGTTCTCCCCTGCCTTGTTAGACATTGTGCTGTCCTTGCCGCCCTCCAGTGGTAACTGCTGCTGCTTACACGCGAGTGGAACCACTTTTTAATCTGTGAATTTGTTCCTTGAATACATGTTTCACAGAACTAGCAACCCCTGACACTTTCCTACTCCCGTATTTGTCAAAGCATAGCATTAATGCTTCTAGTGGAAGAAGATTACTCATAAAATCTAAGGACGTTGTTATACCGGCATGACACTCCATTGATTAGCACAGAAAGAATAATTGTTATTATTACAATTAATAAGAAAATCCATCTTTCTCTTCGCCTTCCTTCACCAAAACACTTTCCTGTGTTTTGCCATGGTGGGCAGAGCAGGTTTACAGTCTGAATAATCACGCTCACACTTAACTAATTTAAGCATTCCTTTTAATAAAAGAATACAGTTTATAACCTGTGTGAATTTTTGAGCTGGGTCATTCTCCTTTAAGTTCCTGTAGGTCAGTAAAGATAAATTATTTTTTTTTTCTTCTTTGAGACCTAGCATTGCATCTTGTTTGTTTTCTGGGGTTTCTTCGTCACAGTCACTAACCGCAGTGTGACTTGACACAGACAGAAACCTTTTTAACTCTTTTGCTCTTAGATTGCTAAGTGTGCGGCAGCATAGAACAAAAGATGCTTGTAGACTGTAGGAGTTGACAAGAGTTCATCATGCTGTGTTTTTCCGTAAATAAGACAGTTAAGATAATTACTTGTAGTTTTAAACGAGACTCCAAATTTGCATTTGCTCTTCATAATATAGCTATATTTTCTCCCAAAGATAAAAATGAAGATGGTTTGGAAAGAGCAAAAGGTAAAAACCTTGGAGCCTCCAGAGAATGCAGCTATTGTGGAAAGTATTTTCGCTCAAATTATTACCTCAATATTCATCTCAGAACTCATACAGGTAAATGGGCTTCACCTTTGTGGGAGGGGAAGGAAGTCTGCTGAATCCAGTTGGATGGAATGTTTGGTTTTGTTTAAGAAGAATAGGAGTTGCCTTCAAAATTATTGATATTGAGAACAAAGTTTTCTCTAATGCTAAAAAAAAAAGTAATTACAATTGAAATGTCTTACAAGGAATTAATTATTTACATAAATGTAAATTTTTTTTTAAACTAGGGTTAATTACATCAACTACTGTTAAGAACACAGTATACTTAAAACTTCTTTCTGCTTTTAGCAGTCCAGCAAAAAGGTTTTTTTGTGTTGTGTTGTTTTAAATTACAACAAAAAACCTGTTTCCCAAGTACTAAGTTGATCGTCTGCCCGTTGCTGCTACCTGGGAAAAAACTGTCTATTTTTCAGTTCAACTTTTTGTTTTCCATAGCCAGACAAACTCTTCCTACTTCTGTTAATGTATGTCCCTGTTTCTTTTGAAACAGCTCTATTTATAGATGAACTGTAACATTTGTGTTGTTGAATAGCATACTTGTGGTATGATCAAGGGCTACAAATTGTTGGAGTTGACCCACAGTTACACTTCTTGCTTATCTCTGCCAAACATATTGTCAGCTACCATCTCCGTACATAGCCAACATGTGGAAAATATCTTCATCGTAGCCAGAAGATGTCACTGTAGTTAATAAAAGCAGTAAGATGTAGTTGTTTAAATTATTTAGATGAGTTTGGGAATTACGAGTATATGGAAGGGGACAGAAAAGCCTATTTTACTGTTTTGCAGTGTACATGATTCCCTTGTATTTAATAGTATTCAAGACTTCAAATCAAATTGTATCAAACTTATTTACTGATAAAACTGTGTTTCAGGTGAAAAACCGTACAAATGTGAATTCTGTGAGTACGCAGCAGCACAGAAAACTTCACTGAGGTATCATTTAGAGAGGCATCACAAGGACAAGCAAGCTGATAGTGCAGCAGACGTGAAAAGTGACAGCAAAGTTTCACTACAGAGTCAGGAGACAGAGCTCTTGCTGGCTGCTGATGGTGCTCAAGAAACCAAAAATTTGAAGAGGCTTTTTGATTGTGCCAAAGATGCTAAGAGCTGCCCACCTACCAAGCAGCAAAAGGAAGTTCTGTCCTTGAACAATGCAATAGGCAGCACAGTCCTTTTAAAAATGAAAAATAATTCTAGGGAATTGAACAAAGGTTCCGTTCGTAACAATTCAAATCAAATACATGAGAATGTGTCTACTCCTTATCCGGAAAAACTAAAGGCTGAGAAGGAAACAAAGGAAGCTCAGCCCAGTGTTCCTCATAAAAGAGAGAGAAAGGCTTCTGTGGCATCAGAGGGAGATGACGTCCAGTATGTTTGTGCTTTAAAGGATGGAAAAAATGTGAATGATGTGAGAGAGTGCACTGAAAACTACAAACACAAACCTATGGTGGACTCTCAAGAAAAGCCCTTGAACTTATCTGTGGGGACTTCACAAGAATGTTCGGTGGTTTCAACTAGAGACCTGCTAGCACCCAGCACCTGTGCATTTTGTACTTACAGAACATTTTACCCGGAAGTCCTAATGATGCACCAGAGGCTGATCCACAAATACAATCCTGACACTGTTAACAGAAATGGCTGTAGAAACAAGGCTCTAGCTAAAGCCAGACGCACTGGGTGCCCTCCAGCTCTGCTTGGTAAAGATGTGCTTCCTCTGTCTTTTTCTTCTAATAAAAGTAAGGCTTCCCCATCTACACAGCAAAAACTGCAGACGGGGAAAGCTAAACAATGTCACCCTCTACAGAACAAAGTCCCTCTCTTCTCAGTGACTGACTCCAGCAGCACAGCCCCAAGTAACCTCAAGTTTCATAAACAGCAAAGTAATATTGGAGCTCAGGCAAATAACTATAGACAACCTCAGCAAGAAATGCACTCCAGTTCCAGTATCGCTCCAGTATTGGACAGAGTAAAAAGATCTGAATCTAAAGTAAAATCTCTAAGTGTCCCAGTGTCTCAGTCTGGTCTAGTAAGCGGCAGTATGAATGGGGCTCTCGACTCTCAGCTAAATGAATCTGCCTGGTCTTGTCATCGAGGAAGAGACTATCTTTGTAGTAAATCTGTGAGCAATGTAAATCTAGACTATGGTGAAACATCTTCCAAACGAATGAAACCTAATCTGTTAGCTATTGAACATATTGACTCTCCAATGGCTAATTACAGAAGATACGAAATGAGCAGATTTCGTGTTGCAAACAGATATGCAAATCTGCTACCTCAGGAATGTTCTCGCACCAAACCTGCATCCTCTGTTTTGCCAACCAAACAAGGGCTTCTGAATTCAGATGATGTTGATCCTCCTAATGTATTGACTGTTCTCAAACCTTATGAGCCATATAGCTCTGGATCACTTTACAGTTCTTGTGGATCTAGCAATGGCCAAGTAACCAGCTCTACAGTAGAAGGTACTGTATCTCCTTCCTAGTTAAATGTCTTACACCATTACAAAGGAAGGTGAATGAAATATAAATAAGTGCGTACCCACTTTGAAACAGAGAAAATAAAGCTGTGCTTAGCATTTCACCAAGTCCAGTCAATGCTTGGATTTTAAATTTAAAATCCAGGGTCAGCAAACTCCTGGCTTGGGGAATTAGGCATGGAAGGTCTGAATTCTAAAGAGGGATTTAAAGTTCTTCAAGTTCCTTCCTGCCCCTGCCAGGGGTCTCTGATAGCAGGCATGTATTGTTTGCTCATCAGAGCGCTCCAGACATGCTAACTAATCCAGGATATGGAATGAGCCTGTCTGCTTAGTATACAAGAAGTTTTGGACCATCTGGAATATTAATAAAAGCTCTAAGAACAGCAACAAAAGAAAGCTGTCACGGACAATTGTTCCCTTCAATTGCAGAAAAGGATGTATTACAAATCATAAAACTAAGATTTAAATCTTATACCTCTGTTCCTCAATGGGTTTTTTATAATGTTTAGTTTTTAGTAGGAACAGAAAATTTTGTTAAATCAAGACCACATATTTCTGCTATCCTTTTTCTCATTGTACTAAGTAGTAACGCTTTGTGGAAAATTCTGGGCCTAGCAGAGATAAATGTGATACATTTGGAAAACTTTGGTACTTCTATGAAATACATGCTTTCTGTGTTTTGTTCTTAGTCAACATTTTGAAAACTTAGCGAGAGGCCAAGATTAAAAGGTGCTAGGTGATATTTAGGCAGTTGTCTAACTTTGTAGAAGATGGCATTTATGACTTTGAGCTGAGGTCAGTATGGACTTAGCTATAAATATAGGACTTTGAATTTTGAAATGAAGATACTATTATAAAAATGAATAGTGTATCTGTGTGTTGTGTAGTCTTGAAGTCTCTGCTAAGTTCTTCAACTTTGTGAATGCTTCCATTCTCTGGAAGCAGTAACATTATTCTTCTGAAGTAGACTGGGTTCATAGAGAGCAGGAGTGTATTACCTTAGGTCAGAGCGAACTGCAAAATACTAAATCTGCATTTAATTACATGGCAAAAATGTATTTCTTAACTCTCTTCTGGTTTTTGTTTGCTTGTTTTAAGGTTGTGGGCTTCATAAATATTCAGGCTTGCTAGCGGGTTATGGAAGGGTGAAGGAAAGTGTTAACAGTTCTGTTTCCAGTCTGGGTAGACTCGATAAAGGAAAAGCCAGCATCACAGTTGACTCATTTCAGTGGTTGTGCAATGGAGTTAATTCCTAGTTTCATGAACAACGTTGTCTGTGTACCATGAACTGTACCATGAATTGCTATGAGGAATGTAAAATGGGCACTAGGTTATGCATAGAATGCAGAGGAACAGGCAGGAGGACAAATGTCGTTGCTGTCTTTTGATTTCTAGTGATCTAAGACAATAAAATACATACAGGGGTTTTTCTGAGCACAGAAGTCATTCATGCAGTTGTGTGCTTTGCAAGACTTTTTTTTTTCTTAAATTACTGGTTGATAGCAGTGAAGAACTTAACGTGACATCTCAACATTTGGTGAGACACGTGACTGTCCTTAAGGACTAAACTATGTTAATTTGCACTGACTGAGGACTTGTGCTTCATGGCATTGGTATCTTTTGAGCAAGTAGAACATTCAGGATTTTTATAGAATGCTCTTGATACTGTATTAAACCCTATTAATTTTCATGAAAACAGGAAGGGGGAAGTTAAAAAGTCTTGCAGGTTCAACCAACTAGATGAGTAGTCTGTACCCCAAGGACTAGATGGTGGGCAGCGTCTTGCTCCTTTCCAGCATTAGTGTATGTTGGGGGTAGCCAAATTCTCTTATTTTGCCAGTAGTCTTAGTGAGGTTAGCCTATTGAAGTAGCAGTTGATACAATACTATTTTTAAACAATGATTTCATTGGAATCCACCTTGTTCTTCTTTTGAAAGCTCCACCTGTCTGCCAGAAAAATCTCTGTGGTAGGCTTTTCTTCCTCTTCTTTAGTACAAGCCTGGAGACAGTAGCCTGTAATCAACAACTTTCTACTGTTTGTTATTTAGAGCTCTCAAAACTATGGCTGCAACTAATTTGACAATATTGTTGTCATGGAAATAAAGATTTCATTGTTCATTACACAGCGCTGTCTCAGGCAAGAAAAGCAACTTTTTATGGCTGTTACCTACATTGGAAAGACTTGTGAAACAAGACCCCCCTCTGTGGGTTTTCTTAGCAACTTCAATAAAAGCCCTGTGCAATAAAATGTAGGTTTTTAAGGCTAATTTCTTAGTTTTCCAGCCATTCTGCCTAGAAGCAGCCAACCCAAACCTTGATAGTTGTTTGAGAGGGTACAGGGTAGCGGACAGGCAAACTTCTCAGTATTAGAGTTTTAATGTGGATGGAGACAGTGAGGATGAAAGTTTCTGCAAATTCTTTTTTTGTGAAAAAGCTGAAGTACAACTGTTTTTCTAAGAGTTGCAACTCCTCAGAGGTGTATTTTGTAACATATCATATGCAAAGTACTGCAGGTGTAGACCTGCAGGTTTCTGTAGTCTTTTTATTGAACTCTGGTGATATTATAAAACATGATGTCAAAACCTTTTTTAAGGGCCTGTGTGCCTTGTGGCAACATTATTTAGGTCCTATGAACATGTTATGTCGCATGTTAAATGCTGGATCAAGTTGTCATGAGAATATGTTCCACTTGGCAAACTTGATTAAAGCATGATGCCTTCCGTTATTGCTTGTAAGCTCTGCCATTCTGTGTTGCCCTGAAGAGACAGAAACATTCTGAAACCACTCAGTTTGTGTTATTTTCAAATTAGTTGCTTTTGCAATGGCAACATGCTATCAAGGATAACCTGTTGGCTGATTGATCTGGCAGAGGCTGCAAATTAAAGACAATTGCTCATGACACACTCCAATGGCTTTGTGGATTCTGTTGAAATATTAATTTAGCTTTGCCATTTTAATTTAATTAAAGCTTGCTAGGTTTTTTCAGTGCTGCATTTAAAGCTTTCATGGAATATGGATGGCAGTTTGTATCCTGTGGGAGTAATGATTCTTGACTTTTTTCCTTAATTTTATGAAGTGTTTTTTGACTGCTTGCTTAAGCTAATAAGACTTAATATGGAACAGGCATTGATTTCACATATATAAATCTGAATTAATGGTCTCAGATAAACATGAAATTACCTGTATACTAGATTGAAAAATGCTTAACAAAGGTCTTCAAGTAAATGTGTATTAACACTCTTTAAAGTGTCATAATTGCCATATAATCTATGGTGGTAATAATGTAGTATACCTGATTTTCCTCTCAAATACTCATATCCAAAAATTGAATTTTCAAACGAATACAGAAACTGCATATGTAAGCATCATGTTCTAGATTGTACTGCAGCACTTTCTTGAAGTGAAGTCTGCTGTATGATGACTTTAGCAAAGAAATTTCTTTCTTGCAAGTAAAATGAGCGAAATCTGGAGAGATGGGCATCACGTGTATACAGCTTAGAACAAAGTTGTTAAATTAATACTTTTCATTTTTGTGTTTGTTCTGGATACTGAATTTCCTAAATCTTTTAATAAGACTAGGAATATCTATTGTCTTGGGCCCTGCTTGTGAGACGATTTGTGGGTAGCATCTGTGGTATTCCGGGATTCTAGATACTGACGTAGACTTGCTCACAAGTGAATGTCTGACCAATTAGGTTAGAAGGAAATAATTCTAACTCCTCTAAATCATTTTTTGTCAGGAAAGAGATCAGTGTCGTATCAACACTTGTCTAGCAGTGTGCTGCAAAAGCGAAGTTATGAAAGTTTCGTTGGTAATGCACACTTTCGACCAAGTGACAAGAAGACTTGATCGTTTACTTCAAGAAATGGTAAACAAACCTTTTCAACTACTTGCTACTTAAATGTTGCCTTATCTACTCATAGCATCAAAAGTTGCTGCATAGCATAATGAGAGGTTATGAAAGTCTGAACCAGAACAGCTGAAAATTTCCCGTCTCTTACCAAGTCAACCAAATACCTGTGTAGCAGCAATAGTTATTTTGAATAGTGGTAATGGCTTGCATAAAAAGTAGATAGATGCTCTTTTTCTAAAAGAAATGGAAGGGCTAACAACAGATAAATATATTAATTAGTTACAATACCAGTGGGAGGTGTTCAATGAAAGGGCTTTCCCCTTAAGTCAGTACTTGGGGGTGGGGGAACACTGTGTGGAAAACTAGAAATGAGAGCAAGTGCCTGTTATCACAGCTAATGAATCCTATGAGAGGTTATGTTGGTTAGTCCTTCCTGAAAATGTAGACTTTACTCATTTTACAACTTCTGAAGATTGCGAGGATTGCCTCAATCAACACGACTGGTTTTGGTGGATTATTTCATAGAGAAGTAAGGGTTTCCTGATAGCTCCTTGACAGTTTATCTTTGTGTACTGGAGAGGTTATTCCAAATAGTTTTTCTTTTGCTTGACTGAGGGGTGGGTGTAGCCTCTTAGGGAAACAGGTCAAGTGAAAAGAATTAGCCTGGTGTTCTGCATTCCCATGCTTCATCTCTTCAGTTCTGTAGCTGTATCTCAGAACTTAACAACCCCATTGTGTTTGCAGCATTCTTAGCTGCTAAGGAGATAAGTACTGTATAAAACTAAAAATAAATATATCTGTATGCTTTTTTCAAACCCAGAGCTACAGATAATTTTCCTCATTCAAATTTAAGGAGATATGTCTTGAATGCTATAGCACCTGGACCAGCATGCACTATTTAATGGAAAGATTTCACATATCTAGGGAGCAGAGCTATCTGACATCTAGTTGACCGCTTTTAAAATACTTCATTTCTTGATATTCTTCTAATCTTACTTTTATTGTCCCCCTACTAAGCATATTTTTGTCTAGCTCTGCTTTTTTAAGCTAATTCAATTTCCTGCCTGTATTTCTACTTGGGGCTTGAGTATCTTCAAAAGTAGACTTGATTGCCAGCTTTTATTTGGCAAATAGAAGACACAGACCTTATATGGCAATATTGGTTTCTAAATGCACTTAGGCAAGGGTGTGGAAGAAATTCCATTTATGTTTTAAAGATACTCCTCACAACAAAAAAATGCATTTTACTGTTTTATAGTTGTATAACACAAAAATATTTTTTTCTTTTTTCCCCTAGGTTTAAGGACACAAGTCCATGTTCTATGGAGTTATACCTGCAGTTCATCCCTTGAAGAAAAATGAATAGTGAAAGCTACTGAACTAAGCTGTGATTGTACTGTATACAAAAACACTACAGTTTTATAGTACTGGTTCTGTTAACATTTTTTACCAAATAGCCATAAAAAGTAGTCTAAACAATTGGGTTATGAAGGTGTTTGGAGAATGTATATCTTGACATTGACTTTTGAATATTTTTCATTAGAATTAATTGACCAAATATTAGGTAGGAATTATATTTTTACATACTTGAGCGCTGCTGAAGAGTTTCTCTTTGAAAGAATATATAATCGTTGCACCTCAGGTAAACTGCAAATACTGAAGTTGAAATCCTGTTGGCTTAATGCTCCTTTTTCATAAAAGTGAAAGTTTCTCATCTGTTTTATCTGTTGAACTGTGTTAGTTTTTTAAAACAACTTCCAAATAAACTGTCTGAAACTGTCCAGTTTATGAATGTTGTCAGCACTATTGCTTTGATGTTTGCATCACGCTGATCTGCCTTGTATATGTTAGGACCATAATGTGTTGGAGGGATCTGTTTCCTTGGGGTTGTTTCCAGCATATTTTTAAATGCAAGGATGAGGCAATACTTGACATTTGGATCTCAGTGTGGTGTTCCTGAAATATGGTTGGATTCTTCTCTTGGCATTGGTTGCTGTTCTTCAGAGAAGCCTCTTAAACAAACATCTCTACCAACATACAAACTTTTACAGCGGAAAATAAGTAGGACTTGCATGAGGAAACGATACTAATCTAAATGTTTCAAATGTTTAGTTTTGTACTAAACTCAATACAGTTACATTTAGAGGAAAACTACTTTGCACCTTTGTCCAAACTGTAAAGTCACAGACAGACTTGCAATATGACTATGGGATCTACAGACTTCAAAAGGGATGTGGCTATGGTGTAGCCTGCTTGACTGTGCTTGGAAGCTTCTTGATGTCGACTTTTAGCATCCACTGGGTGTTTAAAATAAGTGAGAAATAACCTGTAAATGGGAGAGTTATCTCCTTTTATTTTTTTGTGAAGACAACAAGAGTTTTTTCTAATGCACACGCAGTTTAATTTTTGTAAAGGGAAGATGGCCAGTTACCAGCCAGTAAAGCAGAATTGTTGCATATTTAGACTTGCGTTCCTAGTTGCTTCTCATAAAACCTGTAGTTAAGAGTTAATTTCTGTACCTGGCTTTGACTTCCATATATTTTAGTAAAACAAAAAATGAAAAATTTTGCACTGTTCATTTTGCTCTCTTCCCTCATACAGCAGATGTAAAATAGCAAGACCTAGAAACTCTTGTTTTTTCATTATGCAACTCGAGATGCTCCAGTTGTATGTCTTAGTTCCTGTATATGGGACCTATTTTTAATGTCTCTGTAAACTGGCGATGTAATGAAGTGCTGTGTATCAGGAAATTGTACACTATTTACCTTTTTTCCTGTTCATAAGCTGAGCCATATGTACATAATCTAGATTTTTGTTTTCCTAGTTTTGCACTTTTATAGCCTATTTTTTGAAGATGAATTCACTTGGAAAATGGTTAATCTATTTTTTTGCGTGATCTTTCAATGAGTCTTACAGAATGCATGCTATAACTATCATCTGTGTACCTTACGGGGTTCTGTGATTAAAATGTATGGGGCTGGTTTTTAAGATGTTTCAGCAAATAGACCTAAGACTTGTTTGTTTTTAATCTCCCTTTATGCTGGTACAGTTTCCCTCAAGACTTTTTTTGGGTAGGTATCTTGGGGTTGGAACGGAAAAATGGACATGACGACTCTATTTCATGGCAGCACAGCCCTGTACTTCAAAATACACTTTGCCCATCAGTATTAACTATTGGGATACTACTGGTTTTGTATGTTTCTTTGGAAATAACAGTGCATATATAGAGGTACAAATTGTTGATTTTTTTTTTTGTTTATGTATTTATTTCATTCCATTTTGTTTTATTTTAATTGTTGAAACCGGAAGTCGTCAAGCAGTAGGCACACAGTACTCATTTAATTTATGATGTATTTCACTTTAGTTGAGTATATTATTACATGTGGATGTAAATATAGACTTGGTGTTTTGCAAAACTGGTTTCTGTGTCGTGCTTTTAAAGCTTAAAATGAGTTGCCTGGAATTTCATATTCACCTGACCTTTTCTCGTAGTTGCACTGCTGAGGGAGGGGGAGAAGAACCTGCCAATAACCAAAACTGAATTCATGCCCTGTTCAGTTGCTGATATGAAAACACTGAGTCACTTCCCAGAAAAATCTGTCTGTGAGGCTTAAGAAGAAACCTTTTGTTTCTTGAAGGAAAATACCTGAAAGAGAAGAAAGGAAATTGAGTTACTGTATGCATTTTTTTTTTTTTGTGATGATAAAGTTACGAGGTGAGCATGGATTTTTTTTTTTTTTTTTTGGTGATGCTTCAGAATTTGTATGGGCTTAAACTGTTTTTGAAACCAAATACATTCTGAAAAATTTCTAGGTCTGATATGTTCTTGGAACTCGACTGAGGTATCAGGCCTCACCAACACCTCTGACCATATCTCAAAACTGGATGATGAGCTTGGAAGACAGCTCAAAAAGACCTGTCAAAGGCAGCTCATTCTTGAGAGAAAGGGAGCTCATCAGATGAGATTCCCCAATATCAATCACCTGCATTTCAGTGCACTTGCATGAGTGAACACAGCCTCACTGAAATCACAGGTAAATCTTTTGATTCCTGTGCTAGGCTGGCACTTGTTGCCATGATAAGGTTTGTAGAAGTAGGTTAGATGAGTTTCTTAAGTAAAAGCAGTGCTGTTGGGGAGGATAAAAGTTTCAAAGCGTGGGAGCTTTAGAACAAAATGATGCAGTGTGTGGATCTGTCACTTGGTTTGGAAATAGCAGGTTTGTACAGGGCCTGTGGGGCACAAATGAGGGGTCTTGGAGTCTTTGCCACTGAAGGAGTTCAGTTGGGCTTGGGTAACAGTTCTGTGTGGTCTGAGTGACAATGTGGTTAGACAGGATACAAGAAGTAAGTGTGGGCTTTGCAAGTCACCTTTACTATTAACTAGGGCTTTCCTTTGGTGCCTCTTCGGGGTGCTAAGGCTCCTCCTTTTTGCCTTTAGTAGTTTCAGATAAGCTAGACTGACTTAGAGACAATAGATGTGTATTCCAGTGACTTTAGATATCAGATGCCTACGTTGCCATACCAATTTGTGAGTTATGCAAGCTGTCAAATTAAAAGTCAAATTAAAGAGCACATCTCACTTAACTGAGAGGGAGGTGTTAAAGGTATGGAACCAGTACAAGGATATTCAACTGAAGACTGAAAAGTCTTTTTGTCTTCAAGTCTCTTGCATCTTCAAACAATGTGGGATTTGGAGGTGTTTTTTTCAGTGCTACCATGTCTGTTTTGTCATATAATGGTTCCTTAGTTATGAGCTACATTAATACTGCTAAAACTTCCCCCCC